TCTAATTCAGCAGCAAATTCACAGAGAACTGATCGTTATTTTGAAATTTTGAAGTAAGAATTCGAATTTTATGTCACCGATCCTCTTCCCAGTCGCGGCTGAAAGAATTGACTCAAACAGAGTATATTGAATCGAATACATATCCTAGTGGAACCGGACCTGCGTAAGGTCTGAAGGAAAGTTGCGAAGTAGAACACGTGCCGGTGTGACTTTTTTGCACCTTTCTAGATCTATTATATGAATTGGCAAAGATAGATAACCGATTCAACTAGGGAGTCGAAGATAATGGGGAAAAGGGCTGGATTGAGGACCGGGTTGTGCCAAATTCGATTGATTGTAGTTACAGAAACGTCTGCGGCTCAAAAGAAGATGATGACGGAAAATAAGAGAATATTCAAAGGATTGATAGGATGTTGGCTCTTCATTCTAAATTCAGGATAGGATAGGAGAAGACGGGAATGTGAGATTTGAAACGCTGGAACTTTTGTCTTGGAACATAACTCCGTGACCATAGCATCACATACCAACCACATTCAAAGCTTGCTTGCTTTGTTAGTTTTACCCTTATGATGAGATTAATACACAAAATTGGTATCATAGCGCCCCTAGATGTAATAGTCTCATTCACCTTCATTTTCTTTCTTGGATCTATTTCAATATTGAAGCAGTACAAAAGCAAGAACGCAAACATCAAGATTACACGGCGAGCCAAAAGTCTCTCGGACAATATTTTGAGCCGTCGGCGAAGGGAAGATAGCAGATTGTCTTCGCGAGAGACGAATTGTTCAAAAAGGCGCTTTGGGTTGAACCGATCGACAATTGAGACAAATGACTAAGCCTCGATATGCATATACAGGATCTGAATCAACACTTTCCTGTCAGGTCGAAGCACCCTACTGCCTATGGTAACCTCGCTCGTCACTCACACGCGCCGACGGAGAGAATTTCTAAGGGGCATAATCTCATTTTAGAAATAGTTTGATAGAAAAAAACAAGTGAAGAGACAAGTCATACTGATCCCACGGTGTTGGGTTGGCCTCAAGACAAGATCAATCTTACAGGTGGCGAATAAGACACCAGAAACAGGTTCTGTAAGCATTCGTGTTGACCCGACACATGACTGTAGCGTGACTCAATATGTCGGCCAGCAATTTATGATCAGTGTGCTATGGATCTCAGCTATTATAGACGGCTTCAGCAGTTATCGTAGTTACCAAATAAACCCAGCAGTAGGTACCTGATGAACCTTTGGACATGGACCATGCCAGGAAGATAACCGATATCCCTATATCGTGCACGTCCCTATATCGTGCACGTTTTTAAACTCACTCTACAACAATTTCAATATTTAATAATAAATGTATTCAATAAGATATAAAGCTATAAATTATTTAAGAATATAATAAGATATAATAAATTAGAAAAGAATATTTAAAACTTCTTTATTTAAATCTTGTAAGAATCTTGATCTATTAGTCTTATTTTAATTATATAACCCTCTCCCCTTTTTTTATTATTAATTTATTTATTATTATTATATTAGAGAGCTCTATAGCTTCCTTAAATATTAGATCTATAGTATATAAACCTTCTTGAAGTTTTAAATCTCTCTTAGTAAAAGATTCTATTGATTTACAAACTCTTTCAATCTCCTCTTTAATATTTTTTATAAATTGATAATTTATTTTCTTTTATATTATTCTCTTTTTAGTTTTAATCATTTTCTTTTCCTTTTTAACTTTCTTATTAGCCTTTTTCTATATCTTAGTTTCCTTTTTTTGTTTTATAATAAGCTTTTTTTCTAATTAAACAATTCTAGTTTTTTCAATTTGAGAGGGGGAATATAAAAAAGTATTATTAACCTTTTTCTTTATAAGATTTAAATACTTGGAATAAATCCTTTTCTTCTTTTCCATTTTTAAAACCTTTTCTAAATCTTTTGCTTTATATAATTGAATATCAGTTTTAATTATATTAGCAAAGATAATCTTAAAAAGCTTTAAAGTAATTTCGGGGTTCTGATTTTATCGAAATTCTAATTTAAATTGATATAGAGCTTTTGATATATATAATATTTTAATTTTATTCTTTATAAGCTGTATTGATATAGATAGTATAAAAGCTTTTTTTAGCTTTATATTAAATATAATAACCTTTTTACTGAATAAATAAATATTTACTTTTTCAAAGGATTATAATATATTATAGAAAGTTATAGATTAAACTTAAACTATTTTAAAGATAGCTCAAAAATTATATTTCGATATACTAACTAAATCCTTGTTTTTATATATTTAATTATTGAGTTCTATATTATAATTTGTTGAAAAAGGGAGGAAGTAATTTATATCAAATAGTTATAATCAATATATAGAATAAAAAGGTAAAATCAATAATATAATTTTTAATTTGTTATATTTTGATATAAATTTTATATTGATATAGTTAGAATGATTATTTATAATTAATAGCTGATATCCTTTTCCTGTTTTTAGATATATATAATGTTAAAAGATTTTTATAAATTAATTAAATTTAAAAGCATTAAATAATTACTTATTGTTTAAAGCTTTGAAATAAGCTTAATCTTTTATGCTTATCTTATTAATCTATATATTTTGTAAATTGCCTGATTCCTTTTTATAGATTAAGATAAATGGGAAAACTGTATTATTGATAGTTATATATATTAAAAGGATAATAAACTTTTTTGATCTATTTTGTTTAGTTTTTGTAATTCTGTTTTTTATATATATATTAATATTTATTATTCTTTTTATAATTTTCCTAAAATTAATTAGGAATTCTTTCTTGTTTTAATTATATATATTTTTCGATATAATATTATATTTTATAATTGTTTTTGTTAATTAAATAAATAAAAAAGAGGGGTTAGCAAAAGCTTTTTTAAATAATATAAATCAATTACAATATAAAATAATATTAATAAGATTATAAAAATATTTAAATATATCTATATTATTAGTCTTAATATACAAATTATCAATACAATGGAGATACTAACTTTGAATACAATTTTTATATTATTTAATAAAATTGATTGTTTAGTTTTTCCCTATATAATATCCTTTTATTTTTTCTATTAAATTTCTAATTATAATATTTATAAAAGGTATAGATCTTTGTGTTAACTTATTAATCTAATCTAATAAAGCCTTTTTTTATTTTAATAAAAGATATTAATATATATTAATATAGTTTATTTTATAGAAGATGATTTTGTTTCTATATTGTTTTGAGAGTATAGTATGATTGACTTTATATAAATAAATTATCTAAATATATTTAGGATATTCTTAATCTTTAATATAATCTAATATAAGCTCTATATAGCTTTCTGAAGATATATTATTGCAATATTTAAATAATGATATTGATATTTTTGAAAGCTAAAAAAGCGTGCACGATATAGGGACATGCACGATGTAGGGATATCGGTTATATCATGGTAATTAAATTCGGCTCCCATGTGCAGTAAATATCTTGCACATTGTCCCGGCACATTGCAGCGATATCCATTTTTTTGTCCTTCGGAACATGTCATTATGTTTGCGGTGTACAAATAGTTTGAATGCAACGGTCAACAAGCCATTTGATAGCCAGACCTGGTCTTGGACTCTGAAACGGAACGGTAATTATGCAAAAAGCACATCTGGTGCAAACGGCAGCTAGCGAGAGAGGTATGGCAAGATCAGACGGGGATAGAGATCGGTACAAGATTAGTATCTAGAGTGCTGGAAGTGCTTCCATGACAAGACAATTTGGGCCGCCACACATTTTTGAAATTGATGGCTCCAACCATGCGAAGGACTCAGACATCCATTAATACCGGAGCTTGTGATTGGTGGTTTCGTCATACATGTGACGTTACTTTTTACAAGCATGGGGGAAAGAGTTTAAGCGAACTCTCTCGAATCACTGGCGACGACTTTTTAGGGGGGAAAGGACGCACGGTGAAGAAGATGAATGGGCCCTTAAGAGCTGAAATGTAGATCTTTATATATCGACACCACCTCGTAGACAACATCAACCCGAAATCAAACCATTCTATACACACAATTTTACTAAAGGGATCATTACTCTTATATCGTCTTATTTCTTTACTCAATCAGTGTAGGTAATAGTATTTCAATATATTAATAATATTCTTTAGATATATAAATATATATAAGAGTAGTATAATCCCTTTCCTAAAGATACTAATTGTCATATTAATATACTGTTATGTGCTACAGTTTCATTATAGTATACTATTGCCTACACTATACTCAATTACCAACTTATTTCTCTTCAGACACTACAAGTGAAAACTATGTCTGAAATTCATTCTGAGTCTTCTCATAGGGCATTGCTATTGTTGGTGGAGGTATCACCGGAACAACTTTAGCTTTGGGTCTTGTTAATCGAGGTATCCCTTGCAAAATACATGAGCGAGGACACATCTTTTCCGAGATTGATGCTGGTGTTACGTTGGCTTCAAACTGTATTTGCGCCATGTCAGCATGCGATCTGAGTGTCTAATCCATTCAAAGCCGTCGCGAAACATGGCCTCTGTAAATAATACTGTGCTAACATGTTTGAAGAATGCAAGAATTGTACTTTGGTTTCTCGGGTGGCTATCATGACGACGGCAGCGAGCCATCCAAGGTTCTGTCTTCATTCTACAACTGGGAAGGCTCTAACAGTGTGTATGATGCTCTGTTCTTTTAAACGAAACTGTTAGATTCGCATCTAAGTACCTTGCCGGATCTTGCGAGAGGGTAGTAGATGAGAGCGATGATCAAGGTCTGGTCACCTTATTTCGCAGATGACACCACAGCGACAGTATAAGCGGTATAAAAGCAAACGGCTTCAAGAGCCACGTTCGACAATCTACATTGGAGTTTGGAAACCATGAGAGTCATGCATGCTACAGTAAAAATTGTGCCTATCACGGTCTCATACTGGTGGAAAACGCGATAGTTGAATTGGGTGAAGATATGGCCGCGAATACTGAGATGCATCTCGGACTCGGTCACGTTGTAACTCACCCTGTTGACAGAGGCGAGACTATGAATGTAATTGCTTGTACAGTAACTAAAGAAGGCTGGGCAGATCCACATAGATTCGCACGTGCGGCGACTGAACAAGATACACTGAATGAACTCACTAGTGCAAGTAAGAACGTCACTAACATTCTCAGCCTGCTCAATAGATATGTTGACACCTGGGTTATCTTTGATATTCTCGACCACCCTGCATCCACTTACGCCAAAGAAAGAAAGGTTTCAATCGGAGACGCAGCACATTCAACTAGTCCTTACCATGGATCAGGCGCAGGCTTTGCCAATGAGGACTTTGCCGTGCTAGCCGAATTGCTTGTGACACCGGCTGTAAAAGCACATAATGGGCTGCGTGCAATATTCCAAGCATTTGAACTATGCCGAAGTCCTAGAACGCAGTGACCAGTGGCCGGTAGTCGACCCAACAGACAGCCAGATGAGTGGCAGGCCGAGGATGTTGGAGCAGACACTGAGAAGATTGCAACAGAGGCGTATGAGCGATCTGAGAAAAATGCAGGAATGAATAGAAATTGTTCACAAAGTTGATACAAGAGAAAAATGCAAAGAATGTTATCCATGTTTGATGAATTGATAGTAATTCGAAATTCCTGTCACAATGAAAGCGCGTGTTTATATATTTATGCTTCGTTGCGGATGGTAGTTTCTGTTTGACAAGTCGGTTGAGATTAGTATAGTTGATCATGAGTTACCAGATACGTATATCCATGGGCCTAATTAATTACACTCAGAACAACGAGATAATGAGATTAGCATTGGCTGCTCAATTCGCTGGTTGAGAAGTACTTCGAAGCTCCGTCTGGGTAATTTTGTTGAACCAACGAATGTACGGCATGAGGACAGAAGGAACTCAAGCTATCAATATGTCGATGTATAGAGAATAAATTAAGTGCATAGGCGAAGAAAAAAACAGCTAATTATCTGCTGGCACAATAATAGAGAGCCGTGTTGAGCACTCAAACCTTATCCTGATACTACTTGAAAGTCAAACCACCACCGAAGCTGTGCTCACTATTCTCACCACCCTTTGTAATTTTTCCCTCAGTAACACCGGTCTCGAAGGCACAGCTACCCATATCCAGCTTCTTTGCAGGGCCAGAAGGAGAAATATCGAAATCAAAAATATCCATGGGCAAACCAAGAGTCGTACATGCTGGTTCCAAATTGTAAGTGGACGATCTTGTGGCTTAGAATTGTCAATTGAACTTACCGTTTGGGATATCTACGATTCCAGCGACGTGACCTTGTACTGGTGCACAGGATAACAAGAGATAGATCTGGTAGTCAGAGTACCCAAATCGACGTAGGTACTCGATGCAACGCAAAATAGTCTCGCGGTAGGCTACAGTGACGTCCATGTAGTGCTTTCGTGTTCCATTAGTAGATAAAATCATTACACAGACTTGCTATACTACGTACCTGCTTACCATGGTGATCTACACTGAACCCTTCAAAGGTAAGGTATCTTCCTGGTCCGTAATGGGGCTCGACGGGGCCTGGTAAGTAGAGTGGCGACTTCATACCAAGGTCTGCTATACCATTTTTCATCACCTTAAAATTGATGGTGATGATACCGGACATCTCAATGGCACCGCAAAATGAGATTTCACCATCGCCCTCTGATTTCACAGTTATTACTTTGAATGAATAGACAACAGAAAGGATTATTTACGGGAAAAATGGAGATCCCCAACAGAGAACTTAGCTCCTTTCACATGTACTGGAAGGTACACCTCATCATGTCGTCAGTATTCACTTTCAATCATTTAGTTACTAGACAATCTCACCTTGCTTCCTCTGCTCAAATTCTTGATGTCACAGTTTCCGCCATGTTCGGGGCGACCTAACAAATATTAAAAAATTGGAAAGCAATTTGGGGCCACATGTTACCATAATACCTGGGATTGTTCTTGCGCCTTCGCGGCCAACCTTTGTTTTGATGTCCTCAGATGCCGAACCAGCATGCACGTTTTGAGAGTTAGGTGGTTGAGCAACGATCCTGTCCAGCTTGTTGGCAGCTATCAATTCACCCTCCCGTTTGTTCCATGTGGCTAGAACCTATAATCAATCATCAGAATATAAAGATTTTAAAGGGACAGTGTAAAAATGAATGGTGGGTCGATCGTGATGTTTATAATCTGACCGTAGTCTGACTTTGAGAACCTTTGATTTTCAAGAGATGATAAGTCTTTTAAATATAGCAGGGAATTTGAAATTTATCTGCCACATCTCAAGCAAATTCAATACTTTTACCAGATTCTACGACGTTTATTCTGGGACTGCGGCCCTGACTATACAAGTCGCTGGATTCAAAGCTGCTGCTGAAGTGCTCCTGCGAGAACCGGAGAAAGAGGAAGAATGATAGCTTAGGAACCTACTTCTGCAGATGGTGCACAGCCAAGAATACCAGGGTGAATCAATCCAGGAAATTTGACGTGGGGAATATGTCGCGATGAGCAATAGATCCCCTCGAAATCCCAAATAGCCTTGGCTCTATATCACCACTCATTAGTTCTAGGACCCAGAGATCAATCGAAGTTAGACATACGCTGATGGGTAGAGTTCATCCAGGAAGCCACCTCCGTTTCCTTTGGCAAAGACACCTAGGCAGTCATAGTTAACATTAAGTCTATTGAAACCGCTTGAACAATTCGTTGCTCACCGGTGCTATATACAATCAGTAATCAGTAAACGATGTAGATTTGACATTGATTGCAAGTGACTTACAAGCCCCAAGGATGCTCCTGATGTGGCTGTACATCCATAATTTCAACAAGCAATACATCTCCTGGCTCTGCTGTCTCGATTTCAAATGGCCCGGATAAGTAGTGGATCTTGGTCAGATCGACGTTTTTTACATCATCTGCACTGTCATCGTTCTCTGAAGCAGCCATGAGTAAATAGTCACGGAGACAATGATGTGGATCGAAAGCTTACTGATTTGACCTCCAGTCCAGTCAACCTTCAGTAATAAGATTAGCCACTATTTGGAAAAAGATCAAGATGTAAGGGGCACTTACACACTCTATCTTAACGGTTTCACCATTCTTGATGGTGCCAGCGAACGGAATATCTGGATGCCATCTGTTATGAAGCTTCGGCTGGCTTTCTGCAGGCTCATCAAGTGAAACTTTGCAGATGTTGCGGATTTCTGATCGACCCATTGTATCTTGTTGAATGTCGAGTTGCAATAGTTACAGATGGGAAGAATGAAGTAAGGTGTCGATTACGTTTACAAGTTTGTTGTAAAAAGAGAAGGAAGAAGGCCAGATGAAATTTGACGATGTGATCAAAAGTGAAATGAACAGGGATAAAACACTATCACTTACTCTTATACTTTAGGTTAATTAGCAGGTAGTCAACCGAAAATGGGATATAATTCCTATCAATTCCTATTAATTCCTAGATACTGATAGATATCCAGGTAGCTGATCAAAGAAGAGACGTAAGAAATGATAAGAAAAAGGACATCCGGCAGCTCTTATCGCAAATTACAAATTACAAATTACCCCTCTCAAATGAATCGAACCAATCATCTGTGCACACCAATCTGAGTGGCACTCGAATCCAGAGAGCATGGGGAGTAGGAGGAATGCGGGGTTCATCGGCTTGGGAAATATGTATGACACTAAGAATTTCAAAAGAATGGGAATCATTCAGCTGTCTCGGCAAGTTCATGATGGATAAAATGTGCCTGGCGCGAGGTTGAAGTTTGGCAATAGAACATGGCATGATTGATGTCTAGTAAGCTGCAGTATACATTGTTACACAGATATTTCTTAGTATCTTACCGACCGTCTGCTTGGTAGCCGTAGAACACGGCAAAAGTTTCGGTCATGCATGTTATTTAGAACACTAGGTGATTTTGCATGCTACCGAGCTTGGCCATATGCTCTCTATTTATGCCATCCATCCATTCATTACCGTGATCTCAACTCGCTGTGTGGCGGAGGCACTTCTGTGGCCGATGATGAAGCTTTCTCGCTTGAAACGCCCTGCGTGACTTCATTCCTATTGGATGTATTCAGAGAATCTAGTTGGTCGAGTTTGAGGTTCAAGAATTCATGCTTGTTCTTCCACTTTTGTTGGCTAGCAGCAAAGTCGTCCTCTTGTCCAACAGGTGGAGGCGGGTCGGTAATTTTGGTAATAAGATATGCCGTGGATGCTTCTGCAATACCATAGACAAGTACACCGAGCAGAGGGATTCGAAGGAATATGTAGAACCCGATGCCAAAGCCAAACAAGAGTCCCTCTCGATCATGAAACCAATTCTTCTTCTGCTCCTTAGTAAACTTGATACGAGCGAAGTATGGCTCAAGCTAGACCAGTCAGATACAATTCATATCACGATAACGATTCAGAAACTCACCAATTCACGCATCAAACTACGTGACGAGAAGTAACTCTGTAGAAAGATTACGAGATATCTACGGGGCAAAAAGATACCCGTGCCAAACACTATAAGGCCGGGACCAAGTCCTGCAGCTCTAAGGACTGTTAGTATAATACATGTCATATCTCGATTGCATTTTCGTACTTATTGAATGTGTAGAAACTGGCAGCCGGAAGCACGAATCTTCCCAGGATCGGAACGTAAGATAGAGCATATACTGCCAGAGAGAGCCCCGCTTTCTTTCCAAACTTTATCAAAAACATGGACATGTTCTCCGCTGTGCTTGTTTTATGAGTTGTGCCATCTCTCTTAGGGTATCGTCGTAAATTTGGATAATATTCGTCTCTTAATGTGGACCGTTCTTCTCCCTTATGTTTCTCGTAATATGTTTCGTCAACGAAGGCGAGGCTCATCATGAACCTGTGGGGGTTAGTAAAGGACTGCAATACAATGGGATTTGTGCGCTCGCAGTGAGATACTCACATGTTGTCAAGAGTTGGTGTGACTCGACTTAGTATACTCATGAGAAAGAACGGAACTTGTAAAACATGATTCTGGATAAGATCTAATCCCTCGACAACCCTATTGTCGAAAGTAGAGGCTCCTAGGTCTACAACAAATGACATGAGCCATAGGAAGACTCTCACACCGAAAATCTGCTACATTTTAGCAATCGCCAAAAAGTGCTGAAGTATGGTGAGAAGTCGTACGGGGATCTCTATGGCTAATCGAATCACGACGCCTGCCAGAACTGCGAGAGCAGCCTGCTTGTAATGCTCCGAAGTAAACAATTGCGGATTTCGCAGAGCCCTTAGAGCTATAAAGCAGCCAGTCAGCACAGTATTCCAATATACAGCGTGGTATTATTGTCGTGGTGCTATGAAACTGACCTCCCACAATTGTCAATTGGGCTCCTCGCAGAATAGCGTTCAAATCGAAATGATCGATAGACAATTTCTCCTTCAATTCATCCCGATTTTTGAAAGGCTTCTGCAACCTTTCTGAATCCATATTTGCTTTGCTTATGCTTGAGTGAACGATGGTCAAATATCGAAGGTTGAATGAAGGAAGAGAAGAATGTGTAGGTGTAGGTGTCAGCCTTCTTGTTTGTTCTTATTTATTAGCTATTGGATATGGACCTGGAGGTAGTCGTAGTCGTAGTCGTAGTAATAGTATTAGTATGTATGTACCTAGTACCAGTATACATTACAAAATTTTCATTTTCATTTTCATTTTTCTTCCAATCCCAGTAATACAATACGCTGCATACGACAGCTCAGAGCTCTAAGAAGCTAGGTAGGTACTGTACAACATTCCTGGTTCGGCTTATGCGACGTCATCATCTTGACCCCTCATTATCCATTATTCGTTATTCATTGTTGCTTGTTCTCCGAAGTCTCATTGATATACATGTACTGTAAGCGGAAAAGGAATACGAGCAATGGTACTCACCCTTCACTCTTCGGGACTTTTGGTCGCTTCACTTCATGATTAGTGTTCTATTGTATCTACCTACTACCTACCTATTACCCAAATACCCTTCACCCAGTTACCCATCAATGAGGCTATTCAAGTATCTTGTACCGCCACTTCTGTGTCCATTGATTACGCATTGGCTGAGACTATCAATACCTTACCATTCTTAAAATTGCGTTGGAACAGCAAGTTGAAGGTCCGGGGCACATCTGACTTCCCTCCTACTGAGCACGGCACGGCACGTACGGGTACACAATCTCGAGAGTCAAGACAACTAATAATAACTTACCTTGACCACTCCACTGTCTGATCCCCTACTACAAGCTGCATTCTAGCTATATTACTCTACTATACTGTATGCTCCGTGCAATGCAATCCGCCAATGTCCGAACTTTATTAAGAAATCTCCAGGAAATTGAAACAATGTGACTTTGACTCAATTGCAAATTCATACCGTACATACTCCGAAATCGTATATGTTGGATGAATACTGACTTTTAGGAATGAGAGTATGTGTTGGAGAGTGACTTTGTAAGCGCGCGGTCTCGTCATAGATGTGCAGTACCTATATATAATAAAAAGCACACATATACCTGCCGCTATACACACTACTAGGTATATCTACAAATATAAACTTCCTTGCTTCTAACCACCACAATCAATAGTCCCCTCTACTGTCCCAGGCACACACACTCGCACATCTTTATTAATCTTGCTACGCTACATTCTTTCTCGAAATTTCATCCAAGAAATAGAATTCCCAGGAAGCCACCGTTTGGTGATACATGGAACTGCCTGTACCGTCTTGAAACTCGCCGAATCTAACTGCGACAGCTTGCGATACACATCTCCATATCTCAAATTTGCGTTTATTTTCGACCTTCAAAAAATTCGCCACTTATCGCGCAAATGTACAATACCATGATGGTCATCAGACAGGAAATATAGAAAGTAAACTGGCGAAAATTGCCAATGGCTTATTTTTCGTTGTCGACACGCGCTGTGTCTGTTTCTGATCGATCAATATCGACCCCTGATCCCCAAATCGAGACACTTTATAGTGTCGATGGCGCTCGCATCATATCTTTTTCAATACCGTCGCAAATTTCATCGCGACTAGGCTCGAGTAATGGATCTGCGAAGGAAAACACCGAGATTGGTTCCTCTTTGAGGTGGTCGTCCCCTGGGGAAAGGACAATCGCCGTTGGTACGCGTTTTGTGCAATTTTGTGTTTGCTCCAGGAATGAATGCTCATGCTGATGTGAGATTTGTAGGCACTTTGCGCATCTATAGAGCTCCCGAATCTGTTGCGTTTTTCAATTGTCAGAAAGCTTTGAAGCCGATATTACCTCGAAGTCAATGTTGGTTTGTCTCGGACGACGGATCTAGCAAATTCGTGCTGCAAGTACGAAGGCTGCAGGAGTACTGGCGAATCGAGATAAGCAACACAACTCCCGAAGAGATTAAGCAAGGAGAAGAACTCAAGAATATATTGGCGCAAGTGTTGTTATATGAAAAGACTCCTTGTCCATTTCAAAGAACATTTTCAGTTGATCTGCCGATTGCTCTGCAAATACCTACCACGCAAAAATCGTGGAAGCCAGTACAAAGATCATCATCTAGAATTCCTTTACCTAGGGGTGACCTTTATCCTATTGCTTTGAAGTCAACCTCGTTGACCTCAAACTCGCCAAAGCTGTCATGCAGAAGAACCCGCTCTTCTTCCCCACTTCAGACTTCAGCACTGCATCGATCCGCAGCCAGCCCCACAGAGACATGCATATCAGACCTGCAATTCCAAGAAGAAGCGCCAGAAACATCTGTAGCCAAATCTACGAATCCAACAATACACTCCCCAACATACCCAATAATAAGTCGTGCAGTCGAACCTCATCCAACAGAATATGGTGAAGCCTCATCAGAATCTATACTTACTGCCTTGACCCGTGTAGAGGTTGGTGAAGGTGACGCAACGTACGACTCTAATGCTACAGTTAAAACTCCCGCTCAATCGCCACGTTCGCAATCACTTCCTGGCTCCAGAAGTCCCCCACAAGTTTTACATCACTGTAGTCGATCAATCACAGCCCCTCCTGTCCTCTCTCTAGTCACAAGTCCACCCTCAAAGCGTCGAAACAGGTCTCCAGTGGGCAAGATTACGGTCGCTGACCTCGATTCTGAGCTTTCATCAAGCGTCGATTCGTTTCACTCTACACAGTCATGGCACTCTCCACTTGACGTACCACCGTCACCGCCCTTGTCCGGTCCACCTTCACCTATCACTTTTCCATACCCCCATGATAATATTGTCCTTCCAAAGAAAGTACACCCTACGCAAGCAGTTTCACAGCTTAATGTAACCCCCGAGACACACGGAGTATGGCACACACCTTCACTCATTAGTACATCTCCTCGAAGTTTGTCACCTGCTCCAAAGACACCGACTTTGGTCAATGATTGCGGCAAGTCTGAAGATGAAGCCTTTGAGGCCACTACTCCTTCACCACCAAGGTTGAGACAACGTGGTACTACAGGTAGCAACTCACGAAGAAGAACACTATCCCCTCTCCCTGCTGCAGTAAACCTGTTTTCTCCACCACCAGGATCACGGCGACTACAAACCTCTCGACATCTTCCAACGGCCATCATCCAAAAGACTTGCGAAATTCTTTTGAGTCCTCCAAGTCATTTACTGCAAGTGATGATTAACGTTGCATCTAAAATCGCAGCGGGTGAATGGAGAGGGGTGCTACTTGGTGAAGGAGAGGCTGTACATTGGGATTTCACCGAAGACGAATATCATGGCGAAAGTTGGACTGAGGATGACTTTGGATTTAGTCTCACACCCACGTCTTCAAGACGAAGGGAGCTTTCCTCACAATCCAAGAAGGATACGACTTCCGGCGAGAGTTGGGAAATCGATTAGGCTTCTATGTGTACACTATAAACCCACCATTTGTACTACTATGATTTTGTAATTTGGGCTTGGTATAATTTGTATCAAAGAAGGTTTACTAGGAGTATTAGTGGGAAGGTTATGCAATTATCAATTTGGTTTGAAGTTATGCTTGTGATTTTGACGGGCTTAATTCGGTCATGGTTTGGGCATGTATAGATAGTATGGATATGATGCATTAATATCATGGAATATGCCATTTAATAGATCATTTGACTCATTTTTTCAAATGAAGATATCTGTTTTCTTTACAAAATGTGCGTGTTCTAGTGTTGAGGATTTGGTGTCACGTAAGGAGGAGATTGAGCGCAAACAGCGTCTTGACTTCGTAGAGGACATATTAGATTAGGAATTCACCCAACGAGCAATAAGAGCGAGGATGTTGACCAACAGGGTTCTACTTCGTAGCTGTTACTACTTCTCGCTTTTATACTCATACTTCAAGTAGATGCATTTCCTCGTCACACTATGATGGTTCGTATCCTGCTCTAATCTATCGCGCTCTCGGCCTCCCAATCCTCAACCTCCATGCTCTCGCTTCACTTCTACGCCCCTCGATCAAGACCATGGCCTTCCCCCGAATTCCGAGGGTCGTCGCATTTAAGTGAAGGTACGTACTATTGAACCATGGAATGTATGTGGATGATGATTAACAAGTCGATGGTATCGAGATTAATCTAAAAGTGTCTACGCTTTTCACTTTCTTCAATTCAACCTCCATACTCGAAGGCTCTTTCCACTACCCCGGAAATCCTCCCCTAGCCATTTTCCTCGCCCTTCCCTCCCTACGATTGTGATTAGCTCTCGATCCCTTATTCGCTTCTTTCCTCTGCCTAGCGACGTCTGTCTCCTTTTCACCACTCGTACCCGCCACGTTTCCATTGCCTCTTCCCCCGCCACCTCTTCCACCTCTCCCGCCTCTACTCTGTCCTCTGATTCTGCCTCCTCTACCCCTATTGCCATTTCCATTCCCGTCTTCCTCCCCCTCAACAGCTTTCCACGACGTACTCTCTAAACTTGTCTGTTCTCCCTTAAACGTAGCGAATCGAGTTTCGAGTCGTCGCATTTGCCTAGGGTCACGAGCAAGCATGACTGCCCACCCCTCGAGTGCTTCGTCCGTCATGCCTGTATCTTGTCTTATAGCTGCTCTTTCCTTACTTCTACGGGTGGTTGCATCTCTAGCAAATATGCTTGGTGATGACTTGTAGGCACGGAAGAGGGTCTCGTCATGTGCACTCTGCTGTGAGTTGTTCTCGGGGTTGAATTCTTCAGGGTTGGCAGAATCAACCGTTCCGCCGACATCAGCGACATCATACGTATCATCTCTTTCATCATCGTCAGAATCGAAAGCAGCAAGTGCAGAGAGAATCGCGGCTTTATTGGGAGCGGTGGAGCGATCTTGGAGCACATCATCGGCGGTTTGATCGGGGTTGCGACGTCCAAAATGCAGGCGAGATGCATCAATTGTGAGCTGGTCAAGTTCGTCGTCATCAAAGATATTGCGGCGAGTAGGAAGTTGCGGGGGAGTTGAATGAGGTACTAGGTCGTCGTGACTTGAAGATGGCTCGTTAGGTAGTTCGCTATAGAAATGGTTAGAGTGGTGAGTTTGGAAGAATGAGGACACATACATTTCCTCATGTCGATCGGCATTATTTAAACTAGGCGGAAGGGATCCATCCAGAAGATGAGATATAACTTCCTCAGTATTATCATTATATTGTTCAAGTAGCTTCACAATAAAGCCTGATCCAAGATCTGGGAACAAATCCTGAACTTGTGATATGAGACTCATCTGATGAACGTGTACACTACCATTTTCATGATTATCAGTATCAGCCAATCCCTTGCCTTTGTTAGTTTTCTTCTTGGCAAGGCGTAAAGGCCTGCCGCTACCTCCAGGTTTACGAAAGCCTTGTAGAGTAGTAATCACAGACTTTGCTCTGCTCGACCCCGAGCCACTAGCGTCGATTCTTTGTTGAAGTTGCTTCAAAACAGGTGTTACTGTGACCAGCTCTGCAACCAACGAGTCATTCACATTAGTTGGACCTTTCTTATGTGCTTCAGCCGCAGCACTCAAGGAATAAAGTTGGTCGACGAGTGATGAAAACCTCGGTTTAGGGCCTTCTGTAAGCCCAATAATACAGAGATAGATAGTAGAGATGATGACCTTTCGTAGTGGTGGATTCATGAGCTTGTAACAACTTATAAGAGCATCCACAAAGTCATCCCCAGCCATGAAGAACGAAGCTGCTTCAGGAGAAGCGTGTAACAGTTGATTTAGTCGTCTCAATATTATTTCCGAACCTTTGAGGTCTCCTTTGATCCCAGCATCCAGCTCTTCTGTCAACAAGCTCTTGACACTGCCCAGCGAGCCCTCGATCATTGAAGAGTGCTTGCTCCATGCTAATGTTGTGACTTTGCTGCCCTTTTCCTTCCCATAAACTTTGCATACATCTGCGAGAACTTCCCAGCTCAGTAACGATTCAGGAGACTTGTCAACACCAACCAGCCTATGAAACAGAAGATATGCTTGCTTGCGAAGTTGCTTGGTCTTTGAGGAATTGGCTAACGAGTTTTCGTCATGTGATAGAGCTGTTTCGGCAAAGTAGGATGCCAGGAAGTTCGGTAAGGATTCATCTTTTGCTGATATCCGTACAAAATCCGAAGATGGTATTGATAGATGTGCTTCAGTCAGAGATATCCAGGCATCTAAGCAAGCTTCCCACTCCTCCGATAGCATATTTGACCTCCATGATAGTTTGGGATATGGAACTAAAGGTGGAAGAACTATTGATTTTGACGCCATCTCTGAGTTCTGCTGTAGTATCGGTAGAATGGGAAGTAATTGTGAACTCGTGAAATAGGATGGTATATTGTGGCCTGGTTAACAGGTGGTGGTAGGTCTGTATGGGACACCAAGGCTTTCCTCGCCTGGTCAATTAATTTGATGGAAACTTGAGTTAAGTTAAAATGTATTGGAAAGTTTTGATCGTCTGGTACTTTTAAGAGATAGGTGTTTGCAAGTGAAAGGAAGGAAGCGCAATTGAAGAATTTAAATGTATCAAAATATGTACAATAAGTGCTCTCGCCGTTTGACTCAACATGTAGGTATACATACCATCAAATTACTTCCTGCTGCTATCGCACTCGGCCACATTCATCAACTTGACCCACCTATCAAATCAATGATGATGGCATCTTGGATGAGGAAATATATAGATGCCTTAAACCGAAGTCATATACCGCATAAAAGATTGTAAGGCATCAATTTTCACGAAACCTCACAGATGTGATCTTTAACCAATAGAATCCATTCGTTTAACCCTGTATTGCCAAGACTTTCTCCCACAGTTTTCGTGAATCTTCAATTTTATCTAATCTTCGCGCCAAATTTTAGAATTCTTATTTTACGACCACCTTCATCACTTTGCCGCAACTGGAACCATCGTTCGAGTCGTGAAGGAATAACATCAATCAATAGAATCCCATTCTATCAATCCATTCAATCTATCAGTAAACATGTCTTATAACAAGGATAAGGATTTCGCCGGTGAAGGCCCAGTACGTTCCCTCCAAATACATTCAACATCCCTCCTCGTTTTCGCGAAGTTCAAATCGCATATCGAATTGGAAATATAGATTATGAAACTAACCTATTCCCCCTTTCGTAGAAAACCCACAAGATCAGAATCACCCTCACCTCCAAGAAGGTTGAGTCCCTCGAGAAGGTCTGCCGTGAGCTCATCGAGCGTGCCAAGGGAAAGGATCTCCGCATCAAGGGACCAGTCCGTCTCCCAACCCAAACCTTGAAGGTTACCACCCGTAAAACCCCTTGTGGTGAAGGTTCCAAGACCTGGGATTGCTTCGAGATGAGAATCCACAAGCGTCTCATTGAGTGAGTCCCCCCGCATTCTTTACAATTGGGAATCTGGCAGAAGATCATGAGGAATAGAGAAATATATGGAGAGAACAATATACTAATTCCACAATAGTCTTAACGCCCCTACCGAGGTTGTCAAGCAAATCATCATCAACATCGAAGCTGGTGTTGAGGTTGAGGTTACCATCGCTGCATAAATTAGTTGAATGTGATGAGAAAGGGAGGAAATGATGGTGAAGAAATAGGTCGACCACTTTATGAGGGTAGACAATTGAACGCTGTTCCTCTCATTTATCGATACTCTCCATGATGCCTGTGTGATACTTTGTGACCGAGATATATACTGCCAATTTGTATTTCTGTTGACAGAATTTGATGTGTTGCTACGAATCCATCACAGGCAGAAAATACGTAGCATTCACTTCCCTCTTCCTAGATCCCCTTCGAAGCAACTGGATGCTATGGCATGATCATATTCGACCTTCAATTGCCTCGAAACGATATAGCTTTACCTCACCCTGCCTGTCATTCCCATAGGCATCCTCACATCCACGCCTATGCACATCCCCAACTATTTACAATATACCGTATCATTCTCCTCGGCATCGTCCTCACCATCTCAAGCTCAAGCTCAATCTCCCCAAACTCCACGCTTGTATCTCCATCCCCAAGCATTCTAGGACAACGAGTCTCCACCACACCAACACAACAGCCCTCTACATAACAATCTACACAAATCATCAACAACCCTAACCCTTTCCCCGTACCTTCTCCCCACCTCCTCAAACCTAAACCTAAACTCCCATCCAATCAACGAAACGAAATATTATCCTCGAATCTTCCACCCACCCAACCCCTCTCCTCACCCCACAGCCCACCCAAACTTCCAAACAGACCCCCCGCCCCTTCTCAAGCTCCCAGGAGTAGAACTAGCGATCCAGCAACCACTATACTCCTACCCCCAAAGTCAAGTCAAGTCAAGCCAAATCAAGCCAAGCCAACCCTACACGCCATCGCCGTACCATCAACACGCACACCAGAAAACCAACTAACATGAGTTCGGAGGTCTCTATTTCCAATCTCTCCAGATTTTCCGATTTCAACCACCTCGTCCGCAATATATATTTGTATGTATAGTTGCTTCAAGAGCATTTGTGAAAGATACATTTTGTCCTTCTCTTTTTGGCCAAAGTGTAATGGTTACAGAAGGACGTCCAAAGTTCCAGATCTAGCTTTCAAAGTCCAACCCTCTGCCACTCCTGCAATCCCCATATTGAGTTCTGTTCAAACACACGTCTAACCCCTTAATATCTGATCCCGAGATACTGATATAATCGATTGCGACTGTTGTTCGCATGTCCGAATCATACCAGCTCCTGTGCCGCTTTCGTAACCTCGAGGTTCAGATCACTCAAGCCCCTCAATAGATCCCATCACCACATCACGTATCACACAAAACAAACTAAGACTAAAAAGTCTCCAATTTTTTGTATCATCAATTCAGATTGGTATCGTCATTTCTCTCTTTTATCCCTCCCCAAATAAAAACTACAGTATGTACAATTGAAGGGTATCGCCATCCTACCATCAAGCTCACAGCACCATTTTGCATCCTCAGCCCATCCAATCTCCCCATCACGAGCCGCGCGAAATATATACTCGGAGCCTAGTACCCAACAGTCGGCTCTCAACAGTATGAAATACACTCATGTTTTGTCTCAGATTTCCATTCATCAATCCCTTCCACTCCATCAAGTACAATAATAGCAGAAAAAAGTTTTGTATGTTCACACCACATGTATGTACATTTTGGTTGTAACCCCCAAAGAACGCCGTGAATACTCCAAAGGTTAGATCAGATCGTCATTCAGGCCTGCGTGAGAATTTAGACCAGGCCAGCTGCTACGTCAGAAGGAGAATTTCCAAGGTATCCCCAGGATTGTTCTGCCATGTAAAGAGCTGCGGTGTTAACCTTCCAGTAATCATTGAATGTACTGAAAAGGAAAACGTTGGATGCGTTGGAAGCGAAAAGCTCCTTGATGGCTGCCATAGCAGTGGTCTGAGCAGCAGGAGAGGCGACAGCCTGATCGTGAGATGTTCCAGCGGATGGCCATCCGGTCTCAGTGATAACAATGTCCATATCAGGGTTGGACAAGAGGGCTCTCAATTCAGAGATTTGGGTGCTAAGGAAGGTACCAGCAGCATCGGCGGCGGTGTTGGTGTCGAAGAAAGGATGGCAATTGACAGCGCAATAGTCAACATTGTCGCAAAGACTTGGGTAAAGCTTAGTGGCAGCCAAGGTATCAACAGCTACAACCTTTCCAGGGTAGTTGGCGGCAGAAAGGATAGATTTAGCAGTAGCGATGGCACCGGCAACACCAGCAGCATCAGTGACACCGTTGTTGACCCACTCGTTTCCGATGGAGATGGTAGTGATCAAACTCCAATCACCATCAACAGCATCGACAATTGCTTGAGTTTCGGATGAAACCTCAGCGAAATCGTATACACCAGCAAAGATCTTGAAACCATACTTCTTGGCGGCTACCAAAGTAGTGGCGACTTGATTGCAATCTGTTCCGTAGATACGGACGGTAGAGTATGATGATGGAATTGCGGCAAAGTCCGCGTTCACTTGGTCTTGGGTCTTGCAAGCGTTATTGGCCATGTAAGGAGAGTATGCGAATCCATATCCTCCAGATGATGCAGCGACAGCTGAAGTGGATGCAGCTGCAGCAGAAGAAGTCGTGGAAGAGCTCGAAGAAACTGGGACCGAAACAACGGCAGAGCTGCTGGAAGAGCTGACAACGGGGGCAGCAGCACTGGTAGAAGTAGCGGCAACGGGGGCAGCAGCACTAGTGTAAGCTACAGAGACTGCGACGGAGGCAGCGACAGAGACCTCTACACTTGGAGCTTGAGCTGCTGTTGTGCTCACAGCAGCGGCAGTAGTTTGAGTGGACGGTTGAACGGCAACAGCAGCGGCAGCTTGAACATCGGCAGCTGGAGTAGTCGTAGTGGTGGCACTCGAGGTAGCGACAGATGGGTTCGATTGATAGATGGTTGTTGGCTCGTTGTCGATATACTCGGTAGTAGTTGAAAGAGGAGTGCCGTCAGTGCTAACATAGATGATAACTTCTGGAATTTCGGTAGCCTCGACGACAACGGTATCAATCACTGTAACCAAGTTTCTCTTGTCATGAATGGCACGGTGAGCATTATGACGGTCTGTGATGTGTTAGTAAGTACTGTGAGAATGAATTGCGCCGGCAAATACATACTGAATGGTTGAGCCAAAGTCAATTGGACAAGGGAGAAACCCGCGAGGGACAGGATGGCGCTCTTCATATTGAATGTGATATTGAGAGAAAGAATGTGTTGGTTTGAAAGTCGAAGTAGATTCTATCTATTGCCGGCCAGCGGTTAGTTCAAGGTTTAATGTGAATTGACAAAATAAACAAAAAGCAGGCAAGGAATGAAGCATGTATGTGTTATGAGATTATGAGAAGGACCAGATCCAAAGTGTTGGAGTCAAATAAACTCCTTAGGTAGGGTAGGAAATTCCATGTTGATCTCTAGGACTCTAGGAACCTTACAGGCCGCGAGAATGGCTTGGTGCAGTTTGATGACAGGAATAAAATGAACCCACCTTAGATTTCGAGAACGTTGGAATGTAAATATGATCTTGAGAATGTTATCGTCAAGAAGGCTTAGTCTCGATTGGGTATCAACGACGACAGGAATGTTGTATTTTCTTGGTAGTAATCCTAATGAGTGACTTGATCTCGAGGTTTCAAGGTATCAATGAGTGTTGGACAAATGCAAGCAAAAGATGCGCGGCAAATTTTGCAATTGTAATTGTCGACTTTATTTCCGAGAGACTTCTAGGTCCAAGAAATAAATCAAAAGGAAGGTTATGAGATTTGACTGAATATCAAATCGTTGTTGAGAGAGAGAAAGAGAGTGAGTGTATATGTTTGTGTGAGTGGATATTGAAGGATAGTGATGAGAACTCGAAGATCAATTCGAAATTTCTGAAAAGAGATTAGAGACTTTACTAATTCTGGCTGGTGGTGGAGAATGATGATAAAATCAAAAGTAGAGGAAGGAACCAACGATAGAGATTATTGTTGTTATTGTTGTTATTGTTGGAGGAGGCTTGGTTTTGTTTACGGAACAGAAGCACTTACTTATCTAAGGTATCCAGGTACCAAGAAGAAGAAGGAGCAGAAGAAGATGTTGACGTTCCTTTTTTATTTACTACCTAGTAGGTATTTAATTTACTACTCCGCTCCGCAATTCACTTCAAAGAGAGTGGAGAGTAAGAATATTTTTGGGTTGGTATTGACTGTTAAGAAGTGAAGGCCCAATCAAGGCAAGGTGAAGTACGATGTAAAAGAAGGGCAAGGAAGGAAAGGAAAGATCAAGAAATGGTCAAAGTCAAAGTCGAATTCCACACCGAACAACGGTATAACGGTACAAATTCAATGGTGGAGGTTGGCCGGGGATGATGAGAGAGATATTAATTGACGATGAGATTGGACCAAAAAGGAAAGAGACGCCCCTCTATATCTGTGAAGATCCAAAAGTCTAGAAGATGAGAAAGACCAACTTTTCTTTTCCCCGGTCAAGGTAATATTGTAGGTAATTTGAGGAAGAATACTGTGTGCACTGTGGAGTTTGGAGAAGAGAAGATATTGGATACAAGATATATGTTATAAGATATATGTTATAAGATATATGTTACGAAGACTCACGTCTAAAGTCTAAAGATTACCTAGTACCTAGTAATGACAGAAGATTGTAAAGAGTGAAGGCGGGATGACAATGACATGGACATGTATGGGGTAGGAAGAGGAAGAGGAAGAGGAAGAGGAAGAGGAAGAGGAAGAGGAAGAGGAAGAGGAAGAGGAAGAGGAAGAGGAAGAGAAAGAGAAAGAGAAAGAGAAGAAAAAGGGAAAGAAAGGTTCATCCCAACCTTCATCATCCCAAGCCTTCAAGCCTTCAAGCCTTCACGGTCATATCTGGTCAAACACTCAAAAGGCCTCGATGAAGACTCCAGAGTCCAAACTCAAGAGTGAGTGACCAGTGACCACATGGAAGAACTTGCCTGACAAGTTGAAATGAAATGAAATGAAATTGAAGATTAATAAAGTGGATGAAACCAGGATTTCTGGATGCTACAATTGATACCAACCACTTACAAGTTACCAGTTACCACCTCTTTTCATATTAATATATATACCTACTAGGTAGTAGTATATACTTGGTATCCACTTTATATATCATGGTAATAATTTCTCTGACACTCTCTGACTGTACCTGGGCACTTACTTTATCTCTATACTCACTCATCTCTCACTCATCACTCACTCATATTTGAGTAGTAGGCGTAAATTGTAATCTTATCATACCTACCTAGTACCTACACATACCTGACCCCCGAATTGGTGAAACTTACTATTATGCAATGCGTATCCCCGAACAACAACCTTATATAAATTATTCCCTCAACGTTGCCTGGGTATCATCAGTAGTCATCCCATGTCGTGTAGGGCCAAGACTGAAAAGCTTAAGAGAACCTTCTTCTTCCCGACCTTTCGTTCTGCCTTTCCACTTTCCACTTTTTGGGTACCACAATTTACAATTCACCAACCAGTGACCACGCATCCAAAAACTTTTCGTTCGCAAAGTTACAAGTCACAACTTACAAGTTACAACCCTTTCCAAAGAAATTGTGGAACCAGGAACCTTATCCAAACCCACGTCCCGACTCAAGAGATCCCAGCAATCGTCCAGGACCTACGTGGTCCTTAATCAAACGACCCCCCTTCCTCCTGCTTCCTGAATTCGCCCCCAAAAGGACAACCTATTGGATCAATCCCTCACACAACACTTCACCCAGCCGCCGAACGAGCAATCTCCAAATCCTGGCCGCCGGTCGGTGTATATGTCAGGTACACGGTACACGGTACACTGTACACTGTACAGTCTGCAGAACAGGGCTGCAGCAATCCTTACCACGGTCCTCCGATTGGATCGAGATTGGTGCTTGCTCACAAGAATGGGTCTCCTTCCTGATTGTAAGACGTAACCGATGGATGAACGAACATTGGCGATTGGAAAGAATGGCACCAGAAAATCTTCCGAGCCGGATTGCAAGATCAATTGTGCAAATCTGAATTGACCCCCCACAATCTTGAGTCTTGAATCTTGGGTGGTGAGATTATTCAGCTGATTGATTTTGATGGTATTGGATTGACTTGAATCGAAATACTATTCTACGGAAAAGTGTAGGAGAGAGAAGTTAAACATGTATTACGTGATGATGTGATGTATTGTAATTCATCGGGGTAAGTGATAAATTGATAATGTGTGTGAATACTAGGTAGGTATGCATGTGTACTAGCTCTTGACAACTTGTCCTTGTCAAGGCATTCAATTCAATTCAATTCAATTCAATCCAGTTCGATTCGTCATAGGTGAACACTCCAGTCGACCGGACATATCCGTTGCAGCCCCGAGTTCCCAGTCAACTCCCAGTCAACTCCCAGTCAACTCCCAGTCAACTCCCAGTCAACTCCCAGTCAACTCCCAGTCAAATCCTACCCAGCCCAGCTCCCCAGTAAACTTTCATGCCCTGCCAGGCTACCAGTCTGCAGCAGTGCAGCAGTGCAACAACACAACTCTATCACCCTGCCCTAAAATTCCATTATAGCGGCAATCAACAAGCCCACGAGGCGCCAAGTCTTCCTTCCAGACTTCTGTTTATCCTTTCAGGTACCGTTTGAATGTCACTGGCTAATTGACTGGTACCTGCATATTTATCAGCCTATTCATCATTCATTTGTTCATTTATTTACTCATTAAATTGACCGTTTCTTTTCTTCTTCTTTTTGGTGCCTGGGATATCTCCACGGTATCTATCCTCCATCATATTCTAGAAAAGTCAAAGATTGGAGAAGAAGATAGACGGTGAACCGGATAGAAGGGAAAATAGCCTAATAAGTGGAAATTTTATAACCTACAGTCTACAGAGTCCTTCTAGATTCTTCTCACAGGTCAAAACCCTTTCTTCATTGTCTGAGAAGCGCATACGTACGTACGCTGAATCAATACAATGATTTACCAACCCCAACCACTCTCGGAAGTTTGAACTACAGTCAAAACCGTCTTCATATCCTACCCTCCCCTTCATTTTTACCTCTCCCCCAAACCCAAACCTAGACTCTCATCCAGAATAATCCAAATCACACATCTCCAAATCCCATGGAAACATCTCACAGTCTTCCTCTAGTTAGCAAATCATCATCTCTAAATATCCCTATGACATGTAATCCCCAAACGTAGCATCTCAGCCCAGTAACGTTCAAGCGATGCATTCACGCCATTCATAAATTGGTCATCATTTTCGAATGCCCTCACTCCCACATCTAATCTATACAGACCCTCCCTCCTCGACCATGAACCCAAATAGACAAAAACACAATGCTTAAAGATACGATTCAGGATCAGTCCGGATTCGTGCACCCAAATATGCGTGCTGGACTCCCTACCATCCGTTCCCAATTTACTCATGTACTAAGGTAGCTTCCTGAGTCAACTTACACACCCATCTATCTAGCCCCAAACATATCAGACACCAAATCTAATGAACATAGAATGTCAGAATTCAGATTTGTCTACGAACAATCTCATTCCCAAGTAGAAAAAACCCGCCCATAAATTGCTATGTGCCATAATAATTACTAAGTGAAGATATTCATTCGTAATCTCTAATTTGTATACACCGGTCTATACTCATCAAATACACTCACCCCATTATTATACATTACAGCTCTTCAATCCTCTTCTAGCCCCCTTCACAGCCCGTTCTCCCAACCGCTAAACCCAATAACCCCCTATTCATCCATCATCCATCATCTATCATGTAAAAAGAGACATCCCGCTGCAAAAAATGCAGCCGAAGAATCACGAATTTAGGCCAGTGGCAAGGCCAACTTACTACTCGCCTTTCTAGTCAAGACCTTCGTAATAGCATGTCTAATAACGACACCAGCCTTCTCAATCTCCTTTTTCGAGAGTCCTGTCGTAATGCATACTTTCAGTGCTGGTTGTAATTTCCAATCTTCATCTTTGCCATTGCTACCCGAGTAGACTGGCATACTTTTGAGTCTAGTGATCATGACTCCATTGGCGAGTGTCTGTACACAAGTTAGTGGATAGAACCAGTATTAAGTGATAGAATTGCTTGCCTCATCAACACATTCCTGCATGATACGTTCTTGTTCTTCGATACTTAGACGTCTGGAGTTGACAATATCTTGCTTGAGAACAAAGAGCATCACTGGGTTTTCAATGGCACTGGTGCAGTGAACCCAATCACTTCTCGGATCAAGCTGAGCCCTCATTGCCTTGATATTTTCTCTACATTGTACCAAAACCTCAGGATTAGTTTGTAGCATGTTGAGCGTTTCGCTAGCGGTAGTAGCCAACATAGCAGGTAAAGCCGCAGAGAAAGTGTAGGAAGCAGCAGTGATACGCTGATGTTCTACCACATCGTTTGACCCTGCGCAGAATCCACCTCCGGCACAGAGAGGTCCAGCTAATGATCCAATCAACATATCAATTTGTGATGCATCCACATTCTGTGCTTCCGTAAGACCGCGACCTGTTCTACCAAGAACTCCAAAGGACCATGTCTCATCCAACATCAGGCGAAATTTGTAACGACGTTTGAGTTCAATCTAATGATTTGTTAGTTATAAATATGAGCATTAGGATGTGATTTGAGATAATCACCAGCTTGGGCAAGTCCACGCAATCACCAACTGTTTCTGACAATCCCTCTGTAACAATGAATCTTCTGGTCAACGGTCTCTTGGCTTGTTCCTTGACCACCTTCTGCAATACCCTTTCCAAATCTTCCATATTGTTATGTTCGAAGTATTTGACTGTACTTCTAGAAATTTGCAGACCCTTCCTGATTGAGTAATTGCTTGCTCGATCCGCCACAATAATATCACCTCTTTTGCAAAATGCTGGTATCACACTCGAAATCGTAGAAAATGCGTGAGCATATACAATGCATCCTTCCGTTCCCAAACATGATGCAATATCCGCTTCGGTTTTCATGTGTACATCTTGAGTGCCGTAGAATTGAGGAGGTCCGCAAGGTCCTACACCATAAGTTCGGAGAGTTTGGATGGCCTTTTCTTTGACTTGCTCGTTGCCAACGAAATTGTAGAAGTTGTAAGATGCGAGATTCGTTACCGTTCGGCCATTTGAGAGCTTAGATTTTGGTCCTGTAGGCCTTCTTAATGTTAGCACACTGCATAAGTAGAATATTGAGGAAGGGGAAGTTGGACTCACCCTACGATGATGGGTGTTTTCTCACTATCTGCCTCTTCAAAAGGAGTCATCTTTGCGACCAATGGCTCAGGTTGCCATTCGTCTACCAAGTCATCGATTTCCTGGTAGTTTACTAGATCAGTTTCCATAACTTCGACTCGCAGACCAAACTGATTGGGAAAGGCCGCTCACCTCCTCCGTTAACTGAACAAAGTTATTGTTATGCGTCACATAACTAGGCGCCAGCAGATATCTAATGAAGAATATAACCAAAACCAATTCGATAACAGATCTGACTGGATCATCTTGATAACTCGATTGAATATAGCGGATGAGCATGGCAGAGCCAGGCACTTTTTGAAACGTCGATGTGATCTCGTTCATGGACGAGACCATGTACGATTGAATATCCTGAAGGTCCATGTTGATAGCAATCGGGTTGGTCGGAATCAGAGAAGAGAATTGAGTATTGTTTTAAATGGACGATTGGTAGAAAACGTTCCCGCTTCCGTTCGTACTGACACAAAAAAGTGCTGGCTTGTTCAATGACGGTTATCGCGACTTGCTGTCGGCTTCGCGTAATTGAATGTCCGTGGAGTTCAAGTTGAACAGGTGGGCTTAAGTTAGAAATACTGCCACTATTCGTATAGATATCAACGATGCAAAAGAAAGATATTATTATTGTATTGTATCTTCTTCAAGGACTATATGTGTACATTGTCGGTTTATTATAA